CCAAATAGACCAGAATTTTGCGAAGACGTCAGACAAATCTAGTCACACGGAACCCTAGATTTATATAGGTAAAAAACTATAAGTTTACATATACATATTCATTATATATGTGTGTGTAATCGAGGGAATATGATATATCAGTTATATGAGTTAGGCAATGGGCGAACTGTCTAAATAACAGGCTTAATTAAGTGAATATTGTCATACATTTAATTGTGTAACATTTACATCCAAAGAAATAAACAATAACCTTGCATTTACACTTATGCGTAATACCTCATGTATCCATATATGCTTATGTGTCTTATATATGTAATGTGCATATGCTTATGTGTACTTAAGGAGTTCCTATACACACACATAAATAAATGTGTGTGTGTGTATATGTATGTATATATATATGTATATTATATGTATATGTATATGTATATATATATATATATATATATATATATATATATATATATATATATATATATATATATATATATATGTATGTATGTATAAAATGTAAGTATTATATGTATATGTATGCGTGCATTGTTATTAGTATCATTACTGACATTCTTTTAGGTTAAAATTGCAAAACCATCATATCTTGGTCATAGTTTAAGAGGAATCTGAGATGTAGATTCTATATTACGACAATAACATCTTCCTATTTTGTTCTAGCACTGAAATTCATATGAGTGAATATTACCACTAACTTCAGATCCAACCGCTTAGAAACAGATTTTAGAAATAAAGGTCAAGAATAAGCTAAACAAAACACACTGTTATTGAAAACTCCTTCAGGAAAGAATGAATAATGGTGACAATACTGGCAATGATAATAAAGAATGATAATCATGATGATATTGATATGATGATCATAAAAAATGACAATAATATTACTTAAAGAAAAAGAAATGGTTAAAGTGATAGTAATAGTAATGATTGTAATGATAAGGATAATCAATGATAGTAATGATATAAATAATAGTAAAATTGATAATAAAAATTATCCATAAAAATAATAATGATGATAATTCTTACAATGATAGTAATAATAAAATTTATAATGATAAAGATGATAATATTAATAATAACCATAATAATAATAATAACAGTGATACAAATTATAATCCTCATCGTAATAGTAATAATGATGACAATAATGACAATATGAATAATGAAAATGATTGTGATGATAATGATAATGGTAGCTAATTAATAATAAAAAACAATAATCAGAATAATATTGATAACGATTGTGATAATAGAGTGATAATGATGGCAATGATGATGAGGATGATAATGAGGATAATTATAATGATGATGGTAATAACAATTATAATGATGAGATGATATCCATAGAAATAATTATGATAATAATGATAATGATAGTGATAATAATGATGATGATGGTAATAATGGTAATGATGATATTGGCAATAATAATGATAATGATAATAACAATGATAATGATAATGTAATGATTATGAAAATAACAAATAAGATAATGGTGATACTGATGACGATAATGATAATGATCATAATGATTATGGTAATGATGAAAATAATCAATGATATTATAATAACGATAATTATAATGATAATCATAATAATAATGATAATGACGATATTAATGGTAATAATAGTGATAATGATAATGAAAATGAAAATAATAATAATGATAATAACTGTTATTATTATTTCTATTATTGTAATTGTTATTAATGAAAATGAAAATAATTATAAGAATTTTAATAATAATAGTAATAACATAATAACAGAAATGATAACAATAACAAGGATTATTACTACACTCTGGCAAATACAAGGGCAGTAATAATGATAATGATAATGATATGAAAATGACAATAATAATAAGGATAGTAATAATAGAAGTAAAAACAATAGTAAAAATGATATTAACAATGAAAATGATCATAATACTGATAATAATATATTATAATACTGATAATAATAATGATAACAATAATGATATTTTTAATAAAATAAAAATGATTAATGATTATAAAGAGGATGATGATGATGATAGCAATAATATTGATTATTATGGTACTAACAATGATAATGATCGCAATAATAATAGCAATATAAATAATAATGTTGATGATGATGGAAATGATGTTAAAAGTAATAATAATGACAATAAAAGCAATTATGATTATCTTTATTATCAGAGTAACAATAATTACAGTAATGATATCAATAATATATAATATGAAAATAATAGCATTGATAGTATTGATAGTAATGCTGATAATTATGTGAAATAATAATGATGATAGCAGTAATGAAAATAATGATGATAATAGCAGTAACAATAATGATAATAGGAAGATTAATAATAATCATAACAATAATGAAAATAACAGTGATAATGATAATGATAGTAGTAGTAGTAGTAGTAATGATTATAATAATAATAATAAACCATTATTATTATCATAATTATAACAATTATGATAATAATAATATGATAGTTATACTGATTATAGTAATAATGATGGTATAGATAATTGTTGAGATAATACAGAAGTAGTAATGATGATAAGTAAGTATATAATGGTGATAATGTTTATGATGACAACAATAATAATAACACTAATAATATTAATACTGGCAATAATAATAATAATAATAATAATAATAATAATAATAATAATAATAATAATAATAACAATACAATAACAATAATAATAATAATAATAACAAAAATGATGATAAAATGATATTACTCACATTAATAATAATACTGAGTATTCATGATAATGATGTTACAAATGATGAATATTGATGATAATGATAATGATGATGATGAAAAGCGGTCTAATTCGTCAACGGAATCAATTGCCGAATCACATAAATCAGCTCATTTGCATATTACCGACAGTTGTATCCATATCATACATGTGGAAGAGTGATTCGATTTCCGTTTATAAGGATAGTAATCTATTTTATTGTCCTATTTTTAATGTCTCTAAGTCATGGATACCTTCCAGAAACTAGTTAACTAGTTACGAAAATATGTTGAAGTATACCAATCCGTAGAACATAAATTTTCATGAAAGAAAAGTTCTAAAGTATAAAATTATGTATAAAATTATCATTATCACTCTCATAATTATCATCATTATTATCATTATAATCAGTAAAATTTACAGGAATATGCAAGACCTGCTGGAATGCAAACAGATCACAGGTGCATTGTAAACAAGGATCGGTATGATAATAATGAGTTGATGGCTAGGAATAGTTGGGTTACTGCTCTGAGTCTGCTCTACACAGAGGAAGTATACTCTCTCCCTCACTGCTTCACCCTCTCTGCTGTATACACACCTTCGTCAGGTAAACACTAGGTGAGCTCTCTCCCGCTTAACATCTTTTTATTATTATCATTATTTTCATTATTGTTGTGTATTGTGAACACAGAAGAATAAAAAATGCAATAGTGGACCATAAACACGAATGGGTGTTAAACAAGAATAAAATGTATATAATAAAAAGAGTATACTCTAAGCATCGATATCAACAGCACTTACAAAGCATTCTTCAAGTTCATCTGTTGTAGCATTATTTCACATCATATGGTATTTCCATAATGCGCAAAAGCAGTTGCATTACTAAAGAAAGAAAAAAAGCGAAATAGCAGTTACATATAAAGAACAACGAAATAACAGATATAGAAAAATAGCCTTAGGTCTGCAAATTCGTATCTTTTGTATAAATATGAGGTACTATTATATAGGTTCATCTTAAGATCCGGGCATTCGGCTTATACTTTGTTTAATTGATTACAGAATAGGTGGATAGATAAACGCGTATGTATGTGTGCGTACAAGCTTGAAAAAAACACTAAATGCATACATGGTTCACTGAAAGGTGAGACACTTTCGAAAGCTTTCTGCTGTTTGTCTTAAGGTTTGAGGAGGAAAGGTCAGGTCAGGTCAAAGGCTCAAAGGATCTATGAGAAGAGTGATCGTCATAAAAAATCTAAAAGGATGTCGAGAATGAGGGGGCTGTAAGCTTTCTTTGAAAATTAAGATTAAACAACTGGTTTCTCGAAGAGGATTCCGCCACTCTGCGGGGTTGAATATCTGCAGGAAAAGAAGGACCAATTCATCTGATGGTCTCTCTCTAACTGATGCAGAAAAAGTTTACGGTTGGCGTATCCCTTAGATATAATGTACATCTCTTGGTGAAACTAGCACTAGTCTCACCAAAGTACTGCTTGTCACACGAAGGACAAGGAACAGCACACAAGTAAGTACCCACATCGGCGGAAGAGGTAGGAAAAAAGATGTTAAGGGGAGTAAGTACCCAGTAAGTAAGGGAGGAAAAACATCGGCGGAAGAGGTAGGAAAAAAGATGTTAAGGGGGGGAGAGCTTACCTAGTGTTTACCTGACGAAGATGTGCATGCAGCTGAGAGGGTGAAGCGGTGAGGGAGAGAGTATACTTCCTCTGTGTAGAGCAGACTGAGAACAGTCAGGCGAGGAGTCTTCTGGAGAGGAGAGTCATGCTGGAGCGAACGACGCGCCCTGGAAACCACAGGTCGAGAGTGTGTAAACCGGTTTGCTGAAAAATCGACGCAAGAAATGGGCCTTTTCATCAAAAGATAAGTAATACTAGTGATCCCAGACGCTGAAGGCAGGAAGAAATAAAGTAGAAGCGATGTGTATGTTTAATTCTCTGCTGAAAACTAGCCAGCCAGCACTAGCCAGC